ACTTACAACTGTATTACATGGAAAATACAATAAGTAAATGTGACATTAGTAACATGACATGTACAGCATGAAGAGAAACTACCCATTGGTAGAATTCAAATTAAAGTTCTATATTAGAAGGTCCCGAGGCCATCTTCTTTTCAGACGCCTCGGAGGATTATCAGGGATCGAGGAGGAAGCAAGGTTTGAAACGAGAGGATTTGGATGGTTCTGCAGTTTGTTATGAAAGGATAGATATCTGGATTGGGCCAAATCGGAAACATATGGAACATTAAGGTCTTTATGGATGATTTTATTTGTGACAAAGTAAGGAGCGTTGAGGATTTTATGAAGGATTTTGGATTGTAAGGATTGGATACGAGAGGAATTCGATGGTTTAGTGGAGCCCCAAAGCTCAATTCCGTAAGTCCAAATAGGTCTTATTATTGTCATATATATATATATATATATATGAGTCGTTTTTAATTGATTGTGAGCTTAGAGCGTTTGTCTAGTAAGTGCTGCAGTAGTCGAAAACGTCGGGCGGTTTCAAGTCGTTTCAGTCTGGTATGGGGGTAGTGATGAAGTAGTCAGTTAATAATCGTTATCAGTTAATAACGATCCATCTATTGCAACCCAAACTCTTCTAATCACAAATGAAAAGTCTTGAAAAATAGTGTCGAAACTGGAGGATTAAAATAAATTCCAATAAATCCCACCCATCAAATTAGCTTTACTCTTCGCCGTAAACCTATGACTTCCTGTCCTACACTATGCTTCAACAATAGCCCACTTATCCCTGTTGAACAAACCCGATACCTAGGACTCCACCTGGACAAACGATTCACTTGGAACCCCTATACCAGAATAAAACGACTAGAAACTGCCCGACGTTTTCGACTACTGCAGCACTTACTAGACAAACGCTCTAAACTTCCAACTATTTTCAAAAGACTCATATATATTACTACAATAAGGCCGATTTGGACTTACGGGATCGAGACTTGGGACTCTACTAAACCATCAAATTCCTCTCGTATCCAATTCCTACAATCCAAAACCCTTCGTAAAATCTTCAATGCTCCCAACTTTGTCACTAATAAAATCATCCGTAACGACATTAATGTACCATATGTTTCCGATTTCTCTCAATACCTATCCTTCCATAATAAACTTCTGAACCATCCGAACCCTCCTGTTTCCAACCTTGTTTCCTCTTCTATTCCTGATAACCCTCCGAGGCGTCCGAAAAGAAGATGGCCTCGGGACCTCCTAATACAAAAATGTAATTGGAGTGTTACTAATGGGTAGTTTCTCTTCATATTGTATTCATGTTACGAATTTCATATTTAATTGTTGTATTAATAATTTAATCCAGTTTTAAATTTGAGTTGTAAATAAAAAAAAATAATTACCGATTTCATCAGATTTTATTTTAAAAAATTCAAATTAATGTAACTACTAAGCATATCTTGGCTATGAAATATAGTAAGTAAAATATATATGGAATATGTGATTATCTAAGATTTTTAACCTATGCTATTTTTAATAAATGATTACTTATTATTAATTCCTACAAGGTGTCTCAAACATTCGTAGTTGCACACGGAACTCACACGGAATATATAATCAAATAAATAAATAATATTTATACTTTTTTGTTATTGAAATATTCAATCCAGTTTTGAATTCAATTATAATCTTCTGGCGTATGCATGCCAGCGTATCAATATTTTTTTTATTTTAGAATTTTCCATTAAATGCTGACAAATAAGGGATAAAAATATACCCCTGATATTTAATGTATATATATTTTCTGAAACGTGGGGAAACAAACAATTAAAACAGTATTTCTTTTTGCTTGTTTACTCGTTGAAAATAATGATCACCATACTGACCTACAAGGCACACTTATTTTTAATTTCGCTTAACCGATCAAGCATACCCTTACTTCTTATTCGTGGTAATATCGCTGTAACCTTGGGTTGTATAGGGCTTGATCTATATAGAATCTTTATTGAAACGCACTAGAGCAAGCAACTGATCCGAGATAGAAGAATACTGTGATATAAAACGAAGTCTAGCATGTGTGGCATATATAGCTTTGTTTGTTCTTTGCCTTGAATAGCATACAAGGACGGAAAGCGGTAATAAAAAAAATTAATTAAATATAATCAAGAATAGAACCTTCTTGCATTACAAAATGACGAAATTCCAATCCACGGCCTTAGGAAATATTAACCGTGAAGAAATATTTGATATGATTCCAAGTATAATAACGTAAAGTTTTTTCATTCGTCAATAAACATGCACTATAATCATTATCAATAATTAACAATGGTTTACTGAATACATAGGTTTAACGAAAATACTATCTATATTAAAACTTAATTCATATATGTGCCTTTCAGTTGGTATTATGACTAAATTCAATTTCAACATTTTCGATTATAAATTTTAGTGATATTTATAGTGGGAAAATGTATATCTTTATTCACAGTTCAATATTTCAACACTGCAAACACCTACTCTGGAATCGACTTACTCACTGTCTGTACAGAAATTTACCAAATAGAAATAGCACTAAAACCTTTACTCAAAAATGTTGAACTTGAAGTTAAGTCACTCTGTCAACTTAAAGGTTCATATTTTGATATTTTATAAATAAATTCACATGTTTATTTTTAAAAAACACATATTTTCGGAGGTTCTTTTTGAGGTATGATTATTATGCATTTTGTAAGTCAATAATATATTTAATAAAGATTTGTTGTGAATTATTTAAAAATATATAAAAGTGGCGCTGCGGATATATCGTAAAAAATATAAATGCCTCGAAAAAGGAATGTAAATTTGCTAGACATGAAAGACGAAGTAGAAAATAGAAAAGTTTAAATACAAAAATTTAATTTTCCACAATTCAATCAAGATGAATGAATAAAATTATAATTGTATTCTGGGACTGATCTACCCTAAGAATAATAACGTAATACAAAAAATGGTGAAAAATAATGGGAGAATTATTTCTGGAAAAGAATCAGAAAACTGGAAGTATTATGAAGGGCGGTTTAAAATTAAACTGGGAGTTCGCGTAGTGACGTCACTCGACAGTTAAAGGGTTCTCCTTGCTGGTCAATGTAGCCCTTAAGTCTTTCAAAATTTTGTTCGATCATTTCAGGCGAATTAAGGTGAGTGATATTTCGTTAAACAATTATTAAACACGTAACATTCGTATTACAAAAAAGTTTGATGTAGCCACATTTATCTCTAGATCTGGAAGTCGCTATGTACTCCAAAGAAGCTGAGCAGACTCGTAGAAGAAGATTTGATTTTGGTCAGACCGATTGGATAATGAAATATCCTACGACCGGAAATAACACATACATGGAAGGACTCATAAAAAATACCTTTAGGTAGATATCTTGTCATGTTGCCGTTGAAGGAGACACACTTTAAATACACAATGAGCAACTACATGAAAGATGGACGAATCCAAGATGAACAATTTTTTTTTAGAAGGGGACTTTATCCTATATACACTTATTCATATGTTTTGGTTCCAGTGTGATTATTTAATTTCTTTTATTTTAAAAAATATTTGTTTCAAAAGATTTTGTCGATTCATGGTTGTTATGAGTTGTGTCGTTCTATATATGTATCAAACTTTTATTTTAAACTGTCAACCTTCATACTTCTGTCCACCGACCCCTTTAAAAACAGAATTCCCAAAGATGAGCAAAACGACAATGATCCCAACTACACAATATGACAATTACGTCAGACGACTAAATAACAGACTAAGACTTATTATTTGTTTGCAGTTTCGTTTACTTTACTTACATAGACCAAAAACTACATTGTTATAACGTCAATTAATTAATTTACCGAGCGATTTTCCAGTGAAATAGAGTTGCGCTCCACATCTCTATTAGAGTTATGAATTCAGTATTCTAACTTTTACTTAAACCTAAAAAATATTAGAAGTACGGGTAGTAATTTTGAAACAATCACCGTTACGTTCAGTTATTTCTTCACTTTTTATTATATTTCGATTTTGAACAACTAGATCGCTATAAACTTAACTTTGATACTTCTAACGTAAAATCAAAAACTACTGAAAGGTATTTAATCTAGAGGATTTGGGACCAGATAAGGTGTCTTTTAACAAGGTACAGACAAACAGGTAGTTATAGAAGTAATTGAACAGGGACTGAGCGGGCTAAGCTCCAGGGAATCATTTCCATATCTTTGTTAGCCGGGAGTAGAAATACTATTTGCTGAAAGAAAGGTGAGATTAGATCTTAGCTCCTACTACTATAACATTTGTTGTTTTAAGATATCTTATCATGGCGACGAGAAGTAATATAAAAGTACCCATAGAGAGGCAGCACTCTACACAAAATGAGCGAGAGCAGGAAGGAGCAGATGAATTAGCTTTAGATAAACTGACAGAAAAGGTATTCAAGCTTCAAAATAACCTAAAAGCCATTTTGAAGCAGAAGAATGTAGCCATTAATATTCAGTCTCACATTAACAGCCGAGTGGAAACCTTGACTAATATCACTAGTACGTACGTGGAAGGAAGTAGTCGATTATGATCATTTCAACCTCCGCTAACGAAGACAGAAGAACCTGAAGATAAGTGATAAAAGTATCAACTAGTTCTACCAAAAATCTGTATTGCCAAGAGGCAACGGAAGAAGAAAAAAATAATTAATACAATATTTCGATTTTTAATTTAATTTATACTTAAAACATTTTTCTCTAAAATCCTTTGGCATCCTTGGTTATGTAAAATAAAACATTAAACATTCTTTTCAAAACGGCTTTATTCAGAAACCAATGAATATTAGCAATGGGACATATTTTAACGATTGTAGAGATCTTACATCCATTCGAGTAGAGTGGAACGTTTGTCCCACTTTTGCTATTGTCGAACTTTGGCAGCATGTTTTATAGTGAAATAGACATTTTGATATGATTACGTTCGAAATCTAACTGTAATATATTTTATTTTTCAGTATTCATTGTTTGCTGGTCTCCGTACATAGTATTCGACCTCCTTCAAGTGTATGGCTACGTCCCAAAGACCCAGACTAACATTGCAGTCGCTACCTTCATCCAAAGCCTTGCACCTCTCAACTCTGCGGCTAATCCCCTCATCTACTGTCTCTTCTCGACGAGGTTATGCAGGACTCTAAGGCAAGTAATAACCTTATATATGAATAAGTTAAGTTATAGAAAAGAAAACAATATCCAGATCCACCTGGAATAAGGTGAAAGAGAGGGCCTAAATTTAATTATTTTAAGCAAACGGAAAAAAAAATTCGTTTTTCTATTCTCTAAAAAGGAATTCGCTCTGACTCCCTTTCTTGAATATGGGAATAATCCTATTATATTCCCAATCCTTGGGTATCATTTTCTCTTCGTAAACTTTTTGAAATAGAGCTTGAGGTACCCCAATTATACTTTTCCCTCCATATTCTATGAATTCAGGAGCAATGCCATGTCTCCCTGGTGCTTTTCCTGTCTGGAGTCTTTCCACAGCTGTTTCCACTTCTTCGCACACAATCCCATCACGACAGGTGTCGCTCGGCATCTCCTTATTTCTCTCCCACTCTTCTAGGTTCTCCAAATACCTGGGAATAGTGTTGCCACCATCTTTTAAGAATATCCGCATCATTATATAAGATTTTGCAAAGTACGTCTTTTATATTTCGCATAGGTTTGCATGTTTTATCTTTTATTGCAAAAACAAATGTTAATAATAAAAAGAGATCTGAAACTCATTCATAACTATTACACCTGATGTTAGAAAACAGAAGAACTTCGAGCAACATACTCTTCAAATGTAACATTATATTTTGTTATATAGCCATGAGTGTGTAGTTTTTACAGAATCGGCTCCAGTGCAGGCATAATTATGATAATATATTTATTCTTGTTTAATTTTCGAATTCTCAATTTCTAGGTGCGAAGCCTTCTTTTTTTTTTTTTTTTTAAATACAAATTTTCAGATATGAAAGAGATTTTTTTTTTTGTAGTAACTTCCCAATATTTCTGATATCCGCGAGAAGTTAGACCTTAACCCTCTTAATTCGAGAAGCCTACAGGTGTAATACTTGTAAAAAAAGGATATACAAACAATTATTTAGTTATTAATGGCTCAGTTAGAAATATATTGACAAAACATATTCTACTTGTAGAATAGAGGTAATATATTATACTTTTTTTTTTTTGTGAAATTATTATATCATACAACCAACTCCAACTATACTATACTATACTATACATTGTTAATATTTGGAAGTCTACAAAGAAACTGAAACATTTAGAGTATGGAGAATGAACTACTTTACGCCCAGATTATTTAGACAAAAAAGTAGTTAAAAATACCATAAATTTATAAGTGAATTTCATGATATCAATTTGAATTAAATTTTCATATATATATATATATATATATATATATATATATATATATATTTGTTTTACAAGACATAAAAATATACATTACATGCGATGGTTAATTAAAAAAAAAACGACGAATGATGGATCAGAATAGAAAAAAATAGACATAAAACCTTCTTCCCTTTTGTGAGGAGGGTACTATCCTTAACAATAGTCTAGGATATTTGTCATCTGACCGAACGCTGTCGCGCTACTAAGTTCCTACACTCTTGTATCTTGGAAAGATAAGATATTTCTAAAGGATTCAGGAAATATGAGGGTTCGCTGAGTACGCTGTCTCAGCCTTGTGTCCTTTCACAGAAAAAAAATCTTACCTCATTTGACTATGTAAATAAAAACAACAGACTCGCCGAGGCCCTTCGTAATTTTTACTAAAACTTCCAGCAATCATCATTAGTTAATTTTAATTCACGTAGAATTAATATTTTTTCTAAACTAATAAATAATGTATAATATTAATTAATGATGTAGAGATGGTTGATATATATGGTTGATATAATACGAGAAGGAGCTGGTCAGGATGAGCGGTCAAACAAATACTAAATTTTTTAAAGAAGAGAAGAATAGTTGGGGTGGTCAGTCAAAAAGGAAGGCAAAAATAAATGATAACATTTATTTTTTACATATGCCGACGTTTCGACCTGAAGTTCAGGCCTTCATCAGGGCAGTCTCCTTAAGTGTCGCAGGGAGAATCTCATTCTCATTACATAGTCATTCTCCCTGCGACACTTAAGGAGACAGCCCTGATGAAGGCCTGAACTTCAGGTCGAAACGTCGGCATATGTAAAAAATAAATATTATCATTTATTTTTGCCTTCTTTTTTGACTGACCACCCCAACTATTCTTCTCTTCATTATCCACGACCAATTACCAATTATAAATTTTTTAAAAATGGTATTTTTAATTGTTACGCCGACGTTTCGACCTACCTTGCAAGTCTTCATCAGACCGTGGCATATTGCACTGCAGGATGCAGTTGATAGACTGGCCAAGCATGATGAAGGCCTGCAAGATGGGTCCAAACGTCTGTGTAATAATTATAAATACTGTATTTTAAAAATTTAGTATTTATTTGATCGCACCTCCCAGACCAACTATCTCTCATATAATATTAATTCTTTACATTGCCTCCTGGGATATTAAATTAATTATCAAATAACCATTAAATACCACTTTCCATTAAGTTGCAACATACACCAAATGATTCAAAAGTCATGTAGGGAATTATAACATGAGGCAGAATAAAATAAAACGTGAGCTATCCAACTCTGTATGTTTTAACATCAACTGTACTTTTTAAAAAAAAGGTAAGAAATATGTTGCTAAGTTTTGATCAAAACCAGCAGAACTCAATAAACTGAAGAATTTCTAATTTTAGCGTTTACATAATAAACCGATAATTTATACGTTTTCATAATAGATTGGGAAAAAAAGGTGTAAGTGTAGAAAAATCAGAATGAACTTTAAAAACAGTTTAATCAAAACTTAAATTTGATCACTCAAATCCTTTGCTCCTAGGGCATCATTTAATTTTCAAACTAATTTTTTTTTTTATTATTTCTTTATTGAGTATTATAAAAATCTGTCTCTTGGACATTGGTTATAGTGAGGGAAAACTAAAATTATATCATCATATCGTATGCCACATTAGCATACATACAATTCGTTTCATAATGATTTAAATTTGTTAAAAGCTATGTTGAAGATTAAGATTTTGATTGAATTCAGTGAAGGAGGTATAAGGTAAGGACTGCAATTGTTATCTTGATTAAGCTTTTAAATTTTTTTTTTTTTACATGTATTAAATATTGTTTTTTACTATTTCTCAAGACGCTTTTTTTTTTTTTTTAAATTCAAGCTTGATGTATAAAAATTGAGAACTCTTCTTCGGCCATATAGTAAATACTATTTTTTAGAATGAAGATTGGCCCTGATCGATAGATATATAGTCTTTAAGAAGATGGCAGAGCGTAATAATGCATTGGTATTAGTGCTAGAAACTTTAAGAAAACTCTATTAATTGATTCTGTCTTAGAAAATCTGGATATAAATTCCTGTATTTTCTATAACTCAAAGCAGAATTGCATTTCTTTCCTGAATAAGATAATTGTTTAAATTTAACATCAGTGAAATCCATAAAGGTTAATAAAATTGTATTTAATAATTTTCAAAATGCTATGAACTATCCCTCACTGTAAAGTCCTAATTTTGAAATTGAAGGATGTTGCTGTAAATTACCCGTATAATAAACATCCCAGTACAAGGCTCTATAATCTGTAAAATAAAAATAAAAGATAAAGTAGAAAAAAAAAGATGTAATCCATCCCAATATAATATTGAGGACATTAAGATAGATAATTAATAATAGGTGGTACTTGCAATAAATAGTGTATACAATGCAATACGGTCTAGTAATTGGTATAAAGGAGTTTAAACATCGAGACCAATAAAACGTATTGGTAATTATTTTTATACATAATAAATAACGTCAATAAACAAGAATATTTTGTTTTATATAAGTAATTTAAAATATGGTATTAAGCATATAATGTTTTAATTCCCTATAAATTCTAGCACCAAATAAACAAGAATAGAGTTTCTCAGATTATATATATTTACACATCATTCAATAATGTGTGTATTTAGGTTTATATTTCTTATCTGAGCATTGCAGTATAATGGAAGATACTATAAATAAAACATTATAGATAAAATCACTAAATACCAATAAATAAATGGAAAGATCAAGCCAAGACTTCAAACAGTCAGATTTATCTTATATATTATTTCTCAAATACATATCCGGCTCTCAGGAGTGATGGATTTTGACAAATGGGGGTATCAAAAGAAAGTGAATATCACGTAGAGTAAGCGATTCATAATTTTGATTCCTAATTTTAAAGCTGGACTTAAATAAAAGTGAATATAAAAATGGGAGGTTTCAACAATATCATGGTGCCATCTCAATGAATCGAGACATTAAAAATAAATTCATTATTTGGGAATGACACGAAAATTACGCTATTTTTGGGTGGGCATTATGTGGAGTCCACTATACATGAGTATTTCAAAGCTTACTAAATTCTCTACAAAACGTAAACAAAATCAGTGAGATCGGACAATTTGGTAGAGAGTTATAGCTTTCTGAACATTTATTATTTATTACACCACAAATAATTTGTTACATCTGGGTAGTTATTTATCAAATTGGGAATTCGCACTTTTTTTCTCAGCCACATATTATGTACGTACATATCACGATATTATGTATGAATTAGTATTTTTTTTTTTAATTTCCAAATATTATATTATTTTTAATTAATAATATTATTATTATTTTTTTTATTTCTTTATGACATTTACAACTGTATTACATAAATACATCAAGTAAATTTGGACATAATTGATATAATGACATGAATACACTTGCTGAGTAACTACCCAATGGTAGCACTCTATATAATATTATTTATATTTTTATTTATATAAATATGTTTTTTTTTAAATATTGTTGGTAATTTTTTCAATGTTTGATTAATTATCATTTACTATTCGATCTTTATTATTTTAGTTTATCATTTTAGAAATACACATTCGATTTTATTTAATGATAAAGCAACATAGATCCTGATTGGACTTACTATATAATTCCCTGAGAATTAGTGGCTTTTGTCGTCATCAGATGTTTAGAGTAATGTTTAGAATATTTTGTTAATTTATGATAATCTAATGAAGGTAAAAGCTAATATTTAAATTATAAGTTTAAGGAAATGATGATAATATTAAAATTATAAGTTTAAGGAAATGAAATAATAAACCATGACAGAATATAAATCCTACTCATAAACAGATAACTTACAAAATATTATACAAAATATATGCAATAAATCTTATCGAACAATGTTAAATGGAAGTTGTTTCCTTAATGTATTAAAATGAGATATAATTATTAGGTTTGTGCGGAGTATTCGCACTGGTCAACTAGTGTGATATTTTTATATGGTGCTAAGATTTGCTCTTTTTCAGCATTGACCATTACTTTTCCAGATTAAATTATGCCTACTTTCAATTATAGTAACATTTAGAATACTAGCTCCTGAATCCTCTTAAGTTTTGGAACGACCGAAAAATCGATTACAGTTCAATTTATTTATAATAATAATAATAAAAGGCTTAGCGAACCCGAAGGTTCGATGCCGAACCCATCAATCGCATATAACACACCTTCCTCCTCCACCGTTCACCGTTCCAACCCTGTCCCTTCAGATCGGCTTTAATGCAATATTCCCACCTTTACTTCGGTCTACCCCTCGAACGTTTACCATTCGGTGCAGCAATTTATTTAACAAGGCAAATTACGATTTGCTTGCTAGTTACATTGCTCACTTCCGTAGGATTTTTTCATGAATTTATCCTTATGATGTGACTAAGACATCGTAATCTGCGTATTTAAACATATTAAACCATACCTACACCTTAATACATACATACTTTACCGTTGAGCATCTTTTTGGATTACAATATTTTATACTGTGGACATATCTCGGGTACGTATGTTTTTCTAATAGGAGAAAAAGCACAAGATTTCTGAAGAAATCCATCATCTAATTTTTTCCTTGTTACTATTCTGAGATTTTACTTGGGACATTTACATAATCTCCTAAATCTCTTGTATCAACGCCATTGTTCTCTATTTATTACAAGAAAATAAAAATGGCAACCGCGTACAACTTATTTCAGTACAAAAAAAAATCAATTTAGAAAAAATTAAAACAACATTCGTATCCATCCATCTGTGGAAAAATAATTCACTTCGTTTAATTATTAGTTTTTAAAAACATATTTCATTAGTGTGATAACCCTGTATGATGAATACTTTACAGACTAGAATTGTGACAAAGAACGAATATATAATTACTAATATTACTGGTAGTGGTATTGGCGGGATAACTAGATCGGTCTTATGATCCTTATTTTGCCAACAACTAACGGCTAATTAAAAATAAATCCATCTACGAACGATAATTAATTTAAAACCCCATATATAATTGATTAATACAACTAATAAAATTCAGGTGATACATTTGTAAAATATCCAGACCTAGAAATAATGTGTTAAACGTGTTTGTTTAGAACTTAATTCAATGACATTTACTCACAAAAAAAGTTTTTTTATTCCTTATTTATCAAGTAATTTTATTTAGAATTAGAGTTAGTTATGAAAACAAAAGGAATTATCCATTTATATAAAAATCAATGAGACTACCATACGAAGATCTTCTCATGAAATTTTAACACAAGTAGAAATATAGACAAAACGAGAAAAAAAAAAGGATTAATCATAATTTTTTTTTTGTTTTGAAACACTTTATTGAGAAATATTACAATTTGTCACAGTTAAGGACACTTATAATAGAGTTCAGAGAGTACATTCATACCGTATATACAAAAATATAAATAAATAAAGTAATAACAAAAGAATAAGAAAAAAGAAGAAAAGAATATATATATATATACACACATAAGTAAGTAAAAATAGAAATAAAAGTAAAACAAACATCTTAGATAAAACATACCTATATACATTATTTACAATTAGCCAGAGGGAAAAGGGAGGCATAGGAGATCCCTAAGCTTCTCCCTCAGCCACTTCACTAGTATTTAAAACCAGCGGAGGATGAGTAAGAGCGCTACAGCCACATGACTGAGTGGAGAATCCGGCCATTGCTAGAACTTCAAAATATCTATATAATCATAAATAATTGAATATTTAAAAAAAATATCCTAAAATTGAATATAGATGTAACAGGTTTTAAAAATAAATTCTCATAATTTTGCTTATATAAGGACTAGTGGTTTTTCCCTCTTGCTGGTATGTTGGTGGTAAAATTACCAGTGCAATCAATCGAAAAGTTTTCTGAAAATGAAAACAAGCGTCAAAACTTGGACAACAGCTTTGTGAGAACTCAGTAATTTTGCGGCTAGACCTCAATTGTCAATTGGCACGTTCATCAACGCCCCCTGATTCGTTTGTTGATTAGCCTTACACGTTCACTCATGTGAGAAAATGTCTAGCAACCTTCCAATTACCAAGCCAATAGAGCTGGTTATTAACTCTTTTATTTTATACTACACATTATTTACATTGAAACTAGATTTTGCTGTAAAATGGCCAAAGCTCATACTGACAAAGGAATTAATTTCTTATTAATTAGTTTGAAGTAGTGAGTTAATAATTTGCAATTACATATAAGTAGTTATTTTTCACTAATATTTTTGTAGTTCTTGTTGCTCATGGGTGAAGTTGCATCCATTTGTAAGAGAAGAACGGACAAAACATTTCTGGGACGTTTGAATATTAATTTTGTAGTGGTACAACTACTCCTCTACGCCAACGAGGTGGTATTGATTACGGAAAATTAGCAACTGGTAGTTATGAAATAGTATAAAGAACTCAAACGAAAAAGGATGCTTATAAATACCAACAAAAGTAACATCCAACAAGTTGGAATAAAGAAGAAAAATATCCACACATCCTGTAATATAGAAGAATTAGAAATGGTGACAGACATCACATTCCTGGGTACAGTGATAGACGTATCTGGGAAAGTAAACGCAGAAATATCTCATAGGATAAACAAGGCAATTGCCGTTTACTACCAGATATGTAATACTGTGGTAGGGAAGCGAAAAGTAGGCAAGCTAAACATCTTCACGGCAGCATACACCCATACTTTTATATGGAGCGGAGAGTTGGATATTAACAGACCGACAAGAGAGCAGAATCACCGCTGCCGAAATGAGACTTTTGCGAAAGACGATTAGAAAAACAAAGAGAGACCGAGTTCGTAATGAAAGGATTCGTCAGGAACTGCAGATAGCTCCACTGAAAGAGCTCCTAGAAACTCAGATAAAGTGGTTCAGCCGTGTTATCAGGATGGACGACCACAGAGATCCTCCTCAACAGGACATGTCCCAGATGGGAGAAGATCTAGGGGCCGCCCTAGGAGGTAGTATCTCAACTACATTGAGCGACTCTTTAAGGCGTGGGAGAAGGACCTCCGACAGGCGAGGAACTTAGCTAGAAATAGGGAAGAATGGAATTCCTGGCTGAATGCTCATCTATGCTGAGAGGCATCACTAGCGGATCCAGGATTTAATTTTGGGAGGGGGAGGCTTCAGCCCGAAACCTTTTTTTTCATAAAAATAACGATAATTCCTTTGGAAAAACAGAAAGAAACTAACTACCTATATGAGATGGTGTTTAAGTTATTCCTTAAGTACTTTTAAATGTAATTACACGAACAATAATACTTTAAGAGATATTTTTTAAATTTTTTTCCCATAAAACATGGTTATATTTTTCCATTTGGGGGGGGGCTTCAGCCCGAAAGCCCCCCCCCCGTAGATCCGCCCGTGAGAGGCACTAAAGAGGGAAACTAAAGAAAAAGAAGAAGTCTTAGGGTTATCGGTATGTACGATTTATGAACCCGTTTTGGTTTTATTAACCCTTCGAATGGTTATTTTAAAGGCTATCGGATAACTAAATTTTTTAATTCTGAAGATACTTCGGTTGATTCACTAGTTTCTTTTGGTGTTATGATTGCTTTTTAAGTTGGATTTTGTTTGTTTTTAGATACTGAATGTCTGGTAACATCAGAAAAATTTGGTCTGTTCATGTCGGAAAGCTTAAGTGAATTGCTTAGTCTTTCAATATTAGGTTGTCCTTCAGTATCAGATCTATTATTTATATAATCTTTTAATAGCATAATTGCTGTGATCGCATTACTCCTCAAAACTTTTCTTAAAACTTGATACTTCAATGTTTTACTTAAAGTTTCTAACACTAATTCCAAGGCATCAGTACGCTTTGCCATCTTGTTGGAGACTTTATATGTATCAATTAGTTCCAATATTCATTATAAAAAATATTATTTACTATATGGCCGAAAAAGAGATCTCAATTTTTATAGATAAAGCTTAAATTAAAAACAAAATCTTGAGGTTTAATCAAGCTAACAATTGCAGTCCTTACCATATACCCAAACTGCTGAGAGAAACTGATCTCTACGTTTTGACTGAGAGCGATTTCCATCAGCTCATGAGTGAGGAAAACTATCCGCTCATCAATGATTTTATTTTAGAATGGAAATCAATTATATGCCCAACTCATTTCTCTTTGGGAAAAAGAGGAGACGCACTGTCTAGAAGGGCGCCGGACGGAGGAGCATAGGAAGACCGTGGCCAAACTTAAAGAAATGTGATCAAATTATGGATCCTGCTCATGAAATTGAAATGTTTTTTTTCTAGCAGCAGTGTATTGTTGCACAGAAACGCTTTAACATCTCACTGCGAAAACCGTATTGCCTATCAGACATGTTAGAGATGTCAATAAATGAATAAATAAAACATAAAAGCGATTTGTAACCTTCCTATCATCAAGCATCTTTAACTCATATTACGATACATCTAAAGTCAGATTTCATCAAAAGATGGGACCAAAGGTGAGTAATATTATACAAACAGACTTATGGGATTAACGCGGACAGATCCAAAATTTTAGGCATATAACATATGACTGTAAACGATTTGAACGGCAGCAATTTGAGCTAAACCACCAAAAAGTTGTTATCAAAACTGGAAAATGGAACAAAATTGCTTACTAAATCCAAGTTCTTCAAAATTAATTAGATCAATCGAATTCAACTTACCAGTGACAGCCTAAGTAATTTCTTGTTGGCTTTGTTAAATTGAATTTTAATATCTGTAATGTTGTACTATAAATTCATCAAATTGAAACAATATTAATTCCATGTAGTATGCCCTTAAGGCGAATCAAATAAACTTATAAGATATATATATATATATATATATATATATATATATATAAAGGGTATACTACGTGAAATTAAAATTGTTTAAATTTTATGAAATTTTACTACATTACAGATATATATATATATATATATATATATATATATATATATATATATATATATGTATATATATGTTGTTACAGATATATTCTGTTGTTGTGATATATATATATATATATATATATATATATATGCATCAAGGAATTTTCAATATACCAGATTCCTAGGTGTACATTAGAAGGTCTCAATATCATGTACCAAGATATACAAACCCTTTATACATACATGAAGACTTTATTAATTACTTACTAATATAAGCAGCATTAGTAGGGAGCGGAAAGGAGGGAACCCGAAATCTTTTGTAACAACAAACTTTACTCAACTTAACCTCGGGCAACTAAATCAGCGGAGAAAGGATGCCGGGAAACTACTTGAAATTCTGTACTTGTCGCCTAATAATCATAACTTTTTAGTTCGACTTCTGAAATGTGTTTAGTTATTTAAACGAAGTTTAAATATCTAGCTGCAGTTCCTACCTTGTTTCTGTAACACGTTAAAAATTAAAACTCTAATGTCCATTGCTTAGTTTTTGATTTATTATCTTTAAAACAAAACTTTTTAATCAAACAAGAAGAAAAAAATTAAGTTTTAAGATTGATACAAACAAACAATTACAAGTTCGATATTTTAATCTCAGTTGCTATGGTGCATATATATATGTATATATATATATATATATATATATATTGGCGAGGGTAGCTGAATAGATGATGCTTGTGTTAACTGTTATATATCTGTTATAATATATAACGAAGATATATGTTATTAATGCATAATAAATTCCTCCGTGAGACCGCTCCCGCCTTTAACAAGGACAAAATTTTAAGTGTTAAGGCCCAGTATTATCTGCACCCGAAAACGAACTGTTCCATGTACGGCTAGTTCTTTTTCTTCATGGGGAGGAGGATATTCCTGTCAGTGATCGTCGATTTCCGTTTTCTTTCCTAGCGTTAAAATTAACTTTAAAATTAAAGAGAAGTTTGACATAATAACACAGACATATATTTATATGTGTGTGTGTGTGTGTGTGTGTCTGTGTGTGTGTGTGTGTGTCTGTGTGTGTGTGTGTGTGTGTGTCTGTGTTATTATGCCAAACTTCTCTTTAATATAATTTATTTATATTTTATTTATTTGTATTATATTGAAATGGTGTGAATGCACCCCAGAACTCCCAATTACCAGTTATATGGACAGACTCAGGAGATAACGAGGATCGAATCTAGGGAAGATGAAAATAAAGGCTGAGGGTACCGTACGCAAACCGAAGGTGGACACTGACTACTCCACCCTTAACAGCACGAAGCAGATAGAGAAAAAAGAGGAAGTTCATTCCGATTGGTTTGGAATATGCATAATATAGAAACTAAGCCACGTAGAGATAAAAATTCTTTAAAAAATAAAAATAATCGAGAAGTAGAGAATCCTTTAACTTTATTTTCTAATAAACTTATAACTTATGAAATAAACTATAAATCAAATTACAATATTCCACCCTTTTAGGTTTCTCAGTCGTATTAAAGTTGTTGAATGTAACTTAAAACAGTGAGAGAGAGAAAAAATTAAGTATTGCTTGAATTTTTTAATTTGAGTCAACCGTCACGCACATTTTGAAACCTACCTTCTTCACTTTGGATGCACATCCAGAGATATACTCTTCTTCACTATCTTATGGTAGTTAACATCAATACATAATACACTATTGTGGTTTTTAGAAACCAAGTGCGAGTATTAGTGTTAGGGTTTGAGTACATATTTTTTTCTATTTATTTATTTTTTTTTTCGATTAGGCCTTAACACTTTAATATTTTGTCCCAAAACAGCGAAATGTGGTTGTAAAAAAGTGTTAGAGATGAATAGCAATTAACAGGAACAACTCAGTAAGATGGAAGATGAATATACAAAAAAATATTGTTTTTTCTTCTTTTTTTTTTCCATATTTTTTTAATATTACCATAACTCGTAAGAAAATTATATATATATATATATATATATATATATATATATATATAAACTCGTAAGAAACACGATATGTATATATATATATATATATATATATATATATATATATATATATATATATATATATATATATATATATATTAAACGACTCACATTTAATTATGCATTTGTATGATTCAACATCACTCTGTTAACTTTTTAGGCGTTATTTCATGCTCTGGGGATGAATGATCATGATTTTCGATTCGGAGTTTCAAAAGTCTTCTTCCGTCCTGGAAAATTTGCAGAGTTTGACGCCATCATGAGATCAGATCCAGAAAATGTCGCTGTGATGGTGGCTAAAGTTAAAAAATGGCTGCTTGCATCAAGATAAAAAAAGGCTCAGTATATATATATATATATATATATATATACACACATACATATCGTGTTTCTTACGAGTTTATGGTAATGGTAAAAAAAAAAAAGGAAAAAAAAGAGGAAAAAACAGTTGTTATTGTAAATTCATCTTCCATCTTACTGAGTCGTTCCTGTTAATTGCGTTTTATCTCTAACACTTTTTTATATACACTTTTCGCTGTTTTGGAACAAAATATTATAAATCGAAAAAAATAAATAGAAAAAATATGTACAAATAAAAAATATGTATGTAAATATATATATATATTATCTGAGAACCCGTTTTACAAATTCTTTAGCTTAAGTGAAAGCTAAAGCTTACTACAGAGCTCTGCTGATAAAAACCAAAGTGCTCTTTCCAGCATAATAATCTTCAAAAATTTTACGGAGGCAGAATATCATATCTTGCCCAAGTTCATTCCAAATTTGGTAATGGGGCGGTCCAAAAATTGTTCCCTATTCCGATTCGTGATTTGAAGACTTTTAAGGATCACAATTAACTACTTTAAGAGATGTACATGCATTAAGAAATGACGCTCAGCGAGTTTGAAGCGGTAAAGAACAAGCTAGGGAAGAAAACGGAAATTTACGATCACTGTAAGGAATGCCCTCCTCCTCATGAAGAAAAAGAACTAGCCGTATTTGGAACAGTTCGTTTCCGGGTGCAAGATAATACTGGGCCTTAACACTTTAACTTTGGTTCTGATCAAAGGCAGGAGCGGGCTGACGGAGGAATTTGTTATGCATCAATAATATATATCATCGCTATATATCATAACAGTTAACACATGCATCATCTATTCAGCTACCCTCGCCAAACCTGTTTTGCTGTAGAGTAGAGTAACGAAAGACCATAAATAAGTTTTGTCATAATCATGATAAAAGTTAAAAGATAAGAAAATAAAAACTAGATGTTTGGATTCAGAAGGAGAGGAGGTTATATCGATGGTGGGAAGATATTAAAAAGTAACTCTAATTTTAAAAACCTTGTTGGATTTTTTTGGTTGGTTTAATCAATTAATGAATGCTGTAAATCATTTACTGAACATCTCCCAAGGACTATTACGCGAGTAGTTGGAAGAAACTCACTATTCCTCGACTGGGAAAGCCTAATTTATTAATTGTATATATTTTTTTAGGTTTAAATGAAACGATACATTATTAAATAAAGCTTCAGTTTATGTGAACGCACTGAAATTTTCTATGAAAGCTTTCGAAAGCCATATTGGTTGTTAGTACATAGTTAAAAAGTACAAGTCATCCAGTGAGAACGTTATTTTTTATAGATAATCTATTTAGAGGTTATAGGCTACTTAGCTTAGGTATAAGTAGTAAGAGAAAAGATAAACGTATAATGGAGTTTTTTGTTCTATGATGCCTTTTAGAAAATAAAGAAAACTTTATTCGGAGCTTTTAGTGACTATCTTACTAAGAAAGATGATATGAAATTAAAGAAAGAAATCGGTGAGTATGCAAGACATTGTTATGGTGCTAACTATTAAAGAATGATGCTGCATACGAGATGTTTTGTGACCCGTTAGATAATGGAAGATGGAAAGCAAATCATTTTACTAACGTATTTTTTACATTAACTATTTTTAATATATCTCTTCAAACATTATGGAGGAATGTTAGACTGGAATGCAGTAAAAATAACTGTAACTATGTTTGCTACTTCAAGATAGATAGATAGATAGAAGCATTTATTTGTTTATAAAGTGCATAATATCAATTTTTTTTTACATACATATTACATATTGTTTTATACTTCCATTCCAGAAATATTTCTTATTTATATTTCGTATCAGTTTTCTAGTTTTACAAAACTTGTTTCTTGAAAAAAAGAACTTCATGGATAGAAATAAAACTGGATGCGGGCATGCCTCAATGAAAAATTTAAAATTGGAGAAAACCCTCTCTATAGATGTAGAACAGGCTACCAGAGTACAGAACATTTCCTTCAGACATGTCCTGAGGCGGAGGATATCAGAAAGCTAATTTGGCCAAACCCCACTGACTTGGCAATGAAGCTCTACGGTGATCTGGAGGATCTCAGAAAGACCGTAGAGTTTATACTCTCGATCCCCGACCTTACCATTTGAGGAAAGTTCGAAGAAGAAGAAAGATAAAAATAAAACTAAACTAAAATCGATCGAACAATAATGAAAAATTTTACAGTACCGATTGATTAAATTAATTCTTGTGATATACAGTTTTCACTCTTTATATTTTATCGAATTTAAATATGTTCGTGAATTGGAAATCCATTTGTCAATGCTAAGAATATCGAAAATTAAACAATATTTGTTTGGGAATGAGAGACCACTTTTCAGGTCGACGTAAATTCTTTCTTTTTATTTGCCCATTGTAATGTATATGTTGAATCGCGATTTGATAAAACTTCATGAATTGAAATTTTATGAATGATTTGAAAAACCGTTGTTTTACTTAGACCAACTAGACTACCACAAGGATACCTTTAATATAAATTTCTAAATTTAATTTCAGAAAAAAGTAGACAACTCAAAACAAATAGGAGGAATATGGGGGAAAATCAAAGTTTAAATGAAGTAGACAATACAGCCGTTGAGATAAGAGACAATCACCTACAGTTGTATGAAATACAAACAATGAAAACAGAAATACAAACAATACCCTCGTCTGTTGTAAATGATGTTTCAAACTTGTTCCCATCATCATCAAACAAATGAAATATGGTAGAAACAGCATTATTAATATCTTTAATAAATAAATTAGTATTAGCCAGGCACTTCGCTTACTGCCTAATATTTAATTCTTCATTAATTAAATCTATTAAATTTTAATATATAACAAATAAAGCTTTTTAATATTTATATTATTATTAGTAATCAGCTATTGGCTTACTACTACACTAATATATAATAATATATTATTATGATATATATAATATACTGTTATTCTTTTCAGATAAAAAAGAATAGCAAAAAATTACAATAAATTACAAATAGAATTATTACAGCTTCTCATATATAAGATAAAACTGGAAATGGAAATGAGTATATCATCCAATGAACTCACCACCGACGTATTTAACGAAGGCGGAACGTACTTTTACAAACCTCTTCTCCTGAAGGGTGAAATGAAGAAACTGTAAACGGTTCTAGAGCTCCTCGTGATCTTCAGAATTAACTAATAAAAAACCGAGGATATGTTTAATGTTCGCGAAATAAGTATATTTTATCAGGCCAATACTGACATTAAAAACACTCATTCAGACATAGTAACATAAATTTTAGTAAACGAATTCGTTGGGATTGGGAGATGCAACAATGGTACAAATTTTCAGTAGACTTGTAAGATGGAAATACAAGATATACCTACCTACTGAGCAATGATATTTAACCTATTATTTGAAAGTGAAGAAGAAGAATTTAACGATAATGTCATTTTAAAACATTGTTAAAGAGGGATTTTCAAAATTCAAAACACATTAGAGCTCAATGAATGTTTCCCAACCTGTTCCGCAAAATCTGAAGCATCCATTAATAATGGAAAGTGTACAGCTACGGACCCCACTGCCCTCCGAGGAGGTATACTTTGATAATCATAAACTTTAAAATAAAGTTTACATTGGCATGGTAGTGGTATCCAATATCATATAATAGGACAATTACAAGGAGTAAGTAAAGCGTATAGTTAACATTGTTCCATACGGTGGTTGCATGGCTTAAGAATATCACAATAATTATAAATTCTTTCCACTATGTGTCCACACAAAACAGTATAGTTTTTCGTTTATTTTTAATTGTTGATCGCTACAGGAACCATTTGATCAACTTCATGTTTTTGTGGTCCTACACCTATGTTTTACTCTCCAAAGTCCAAAGTGGCTGTGAATTGTGCTTAAAAATGGTACATAGTACTGAAAAAAAGAACACAAGGAACATTTTATTGAATGCAGAATTGTTAAGAAGATTTCAGGTATCCTATGGTTTGCATCATGGCATCATTACACAATGAACCAAACAATCCGGCTGAGAGAACATATAGCGGTATATTAAAAGTGACCAGACAAATAATTGAATGATAATTGGGTGTATTGAAAGAGAAATTTCGTTGCTTAAGTTATTTTTGATTGAATTAAATAGGCGCATGACAAATAGTGAAATGTTACATAATTGTTTGCAACTATACAAGAGTAAGCTTTGTAGAAGACGAAGAAATCTAAATGGATATAATGTAGTTCGTGTAGATGTATATGAACCGAGTACGGATTCAGAATCTGTCCTCAAAGCAGATATTGGTTACAGACACAGTGAAAAATTTAAAAACATTGGAGTGTTGGATATAAGTTAGATTTTTTATGGTTACCGGGTCACTCTGGTATTGAAGGGAACGAGATCATGCCAAGGGAGTTGCAGAAAAAAAAAAAAACGTTTGAAAAGAAATAGGTAATAACTATTGTAAAAGTACTGAGAAATTGCCGTTTCTTATTAATTTCAGATTTAATGTTAAGTAAGGTTAGAATTAAAAAAAAAAAAGTTCTATTCTACTTTTACAACCTAAGGAACGTAACCGTTCACCTCAATGAAGTAGGGATATTCAAACTAGAACCATGTATTGTAAACCTCTTAAAAATGTAAATGTGGGCGTAAGAAAACACGATGTTCTAGGGGTGTTCATGCAACTAATGCAAAGTAATGTGAACCTCTAAAATGCATAAAGTCAAGAAACTTATTTACGAAATGTATTTAAATATGGCCGCTAGCAAACTAGATTTTAACGCAGCCTAGGATCCTATGAAATGGTGCTAACTTCGTCAACGCACGGAGAAGAATATTCTAAGGTATGGATGTCTTTGATTCTTTGCTTGTGTACAAAACCTACAGAAATGGAATGTAAAGATTGTTTTAAGAAGAAAATGAGAGCCTTTATTCTTAATAAAGCTAATGGAAGACAAAATCATTGCAGTATGCGAAATCGCTAAAGAAC